AATAGCTGCCATCATAGGACACTGTAAAATTTGATAACCATGCAAGACTGTAGAAGCTGTCAAGATAAGGAAGAAAAGTGATCAATTTAAAATCTTATATCTGTCCTAACATCGATGTCCCCTAACATCGATTTCTGGCGGACACCTCAGAGTTATCTGGCATTGCGGTTGGTTTAGTGGAACATACTCTGACAGCACTAAGTCTAAGACGTTCTATTCTTATTTAAGCATTCCCTCCCTCTCTCTGCCTCTATCTTTTTTTAACATCTAATCTCTCCTTATATGTTTCACAAAGGGTCCAAAAGGACCCACGTGCCTGCAAAACCAACCAACCAATGAGTCGGATGAATGCCCTGGGTTGAATGGTGATGGATGTACGGTATCTTATTCAGATGAAACCATAGAAATTCCCTTGTTTGTCAGGGTATATTCAGGGCTGGTTCTGTTCATAACTGACATACTTGGATTATTTGATAGATTCGTATTTCGATTACCAATGTTGCAGAATCAAACACAATACTGCGACACAGTAATGGAAATTGAAGCTATTAACCGATCAGACTTCAAATATAACATTTCATTAACATACAACGACACAGTAATGGAAAATTGAACCTATTGACCGATTTCAAACATAAAATAATGTCATTAATAATTTTTTTCCAATAATAAGGAATTACATATGGATGCAAAACGGAACACCTTTTAAATATATTGTGGAACGTTCACGACAGCATCATCTATAGGTTTTCAGCTTTAAAATTTTACTTAAACAGCTTTCAATTTTTACTTAATTTTCTATAATCTTCATAAAATTCCAAATTTGAATTTTAAAGTTCATATGTTTAAGGTCATTTCTTCTTAGTATTGAAAATCTCCAAAAAGAAATGCTAAATTCAAACCCAACCAAGCAGATTTTTTATTCTCCCTCAAGGGAATGTTTGTATCTTAAATACAAAAGTAGCCAAATAAATTCATTCATTCATAGATTCAGTCTTCCTCTCCTTTAGACTATGCATTATTGTCGATGTGCATACTAAAATAACTTAAAAAGAAATACAAACAAATATTCAATTGAAATCCATCGATGAAAGAAGTCATCAGTGTTTGGGGTAGATACGTTTCAACACTTATAAGTCAAGTGTAAAATACAACATGCATTTGTGGCACAGATAGAGAACTCAACTCGCACCACTTGATCAAAAAACACAAACATGTTAGAGACGAGATTCGAGAAAGTTTGGTTAAAAAGTTAAAATACAACAAAATAGTACAACTAATAAAAATAAATACCAAATACAAAATACTAACAACAATAACAATATTAAAGTACAAGTATCCAAATAGCCCAAGGATATAAAAATACATTTTTTGTTGTTTGTTTATTCCTACATACGTACAAACAAGTATATCCTACTGCCATCAACAACTACTTAATATGAACAACAGTTTGCTCTTAATTTTTTTATTATTTGCCATTTTAGCCAAAATAATAAGAAGGCAATAACAAAATCGAACCATTTCAAGTTGAGGAAGTGTGTGAGAAACAACGAATCTTATCGAAATTGTTTAGTTAAACTTCTACAATGAAATAATCAAACGAAAAGTGGAAAAGTTTTTCGTTCAGGAAGACAGTGGAGAATGAGTGCTGTGTGTATTTGTTTATTTGGTTATGTGTGATGGTTATAATCATTGAAGAAATCAAGCTAATGAGCTTACGTTTTCTCTTTTCTATTTTTTGCCTTTACGAATTAATCACAGTGGGTCAATGGTATTAGCAAATGTATGGCATACTGCGCTACTTTGCCAGTGCTCTGGTGGAAATCGAACCTACGACCTTCGTTCTATCAGACTAGAACACTGACCACTAACCTTCCGGAAACCACAGATAAGTTTGAAGATTTAATTTCTTCATTTCTATCAAAATTTCTACAAACCACTTTACTAACTGTACTTCACAAACTAGAAAAGTTATACGGTATGTGGTCAAGTTCCCCTAGATTTTTACATATTTTCCAACTGTAGTACACTCTGTTTATAGAATATGAACAGACCAGGTCTCCGCATTCTTGCGTCTTAAATATTTTAATAATTCGAATTGTGTATTACTTATCTCTTAGCTCACAGCGTCTGTCTAGAATATAAAGAGCAGCTTCTTCAATTTCTTTATTCCGACACTAAATGCAGTCTTTTCTTTAGGTCAAAGTCGGCTACTTTGTGTGATATTATATTAACGCAACCATCAGCGCCCAGCTCCTAGATAGTGTATCTTTCGGTTTGTAATTCCAAATTTTATTGATACATACATACATATTACAAATCCAAAGATGGCTTACACTAGAGCGAAGTGAAGTGTGAGGAAACATTTACTACTTTTGTTGAGGTCAGGCCAACTTAAACCACAACTAACCCGTATCAGCACTGCATCGATTACAAACATCAACTTACGGACCCTTAATTGACGGTCATCATCTGAGAAAATCACATCAAGTTCCTTGATGATCCTTGAGCCATAACAAGGCCACTTCCTCCATTTAAGAATTATTAGTGTCTGGTAAAGGTCCTGTAATGTGACCTAGAGTAAAGTCGAACGCATTCGTCTGAGGAAATCGTCAATGGAAACTACCAAATCAAGTGGCTATGAAAAGACGATCTTGGGGTCACTTAATGACGAACTTGCTCATAACGAAGATGATTTAAAATTGCTGCATTTGATGGCGCTAAATGACTAAAGCATATCAAGAACATGGGATGCGCTAAAGAGGGATATATCTAAAAAACAACAACAAAGGAGTTGGCATACTCTGACCCAAAAGTAGAATGAATGAGTGTCGAAGTGCTATAAGTGAACACCTGCGTGTTGGCCTAATTTCACGGTGGTCTTTTTCACTTACAGGATGAGCTTTTGTGACGACTCACCAACGCCCCTTTGTGTATCTAACACGCGGATGGCAATTTTTGTAATGGTTCTGCCGGGCCATGTACTAGCGCTTTGCTCATGTACTCGGGATATCTAATATAACTGCCGAGATGCAAAAATGTCACTTCTGTTTACAACAACGCAGATGGGTTCTGTTGATTCGGTCACAGCACCTAGAGACGTATGCAGTAGACCAAAACACGAATCATTCAAATAAGCTTTGTTCTTACTCACAGAGAACACTGTTGTAAATCTGGTATGAAAAGAGTTTTCCCTAAACATACCTAGACAGGGAAGGAAACTTCAATGGTATCACTTCTATAAGATACCTTTCATCCATTGCCATTTAACCCAGCACACTTCCCATTCATCTGACACACTCATAGAGAATAACATCCGCCAGATTCACTCTAGGTATACGGACGGGGGATGATCCCTGTACCCCTACAATCATCCTGTATTTAACACCAACTCATTTCCAACGCTCAGTCCCACAGTCACCCCTCTGTGGGGTATCTTTTGACTTTGGCAACAGCACCGAACTTATCCCGAGTTATGGATTTCACCATGCATCAGTCCTTTAACCGACATGCTCTTTCCGCGAATTTGGATTTAAACCAAAGCCACTACGTGGATCCCGAAGGATCCTTAACCAACTTACCAGCCGGAGGCAACTGGGCATCCTTAGTACCAGATTATGTGGTTCTCTGGTTCGACCCCATGTCAAATCATTCCAAGGTAAGGCCGAGGATACATTTGATCATCGCCTGTTTATAGTCCTGGCAGACTTAAGGTATTGGTAGCACCTCTTTTCCCCGGGATTGCAGTCACACCAAGATGGGGTCAAGGTAACACGCCCCCGGAGGGAGGCTCAAAAGTAGAATATAATTCGTCCCTTCGACTGAAGGATGTAGAAACTGGATAAGCTATTGAAACCACCAAACTAATTCGCTATCATAGACCACAGTCAACCTGAGAAAAATTTCTTGGAGACGGTACTTGATGGCGCCAAATGATTAAACGATGCCAAGAACATTAGAACTGCTCACGAGGCAGCATATTAGTTTTACTTAGAAACTGCATCCGAGGTGATGGCGAACTCTGACCCAAAGCCCATTCCAGAACGACTGGAAGATATGCCTATATCACCCATTCGTCGATCATGTTCGATATCGTGGTCGAATCGTGCAAATTAATCTGCATCACTGCGAACCACCAATTTATGACTTGCATAGCTTCCATGGATGACTATTTCGTTTTAACCTAAGAACTCTGTCTTGTACCCGGCTAGGATCGAGTCATTCTGTCCCGAAATTATTTGCATTTTTTCCCAACAACTAAGGTAAAATAAGGAGCTTTTTGATAAATCAAGATGTAAAAGTATTGGTGATATAACTTTGATAGAGATGAATCCCATATCCATGATTATTTATGTTTATTATTAATATTCCTACTTTTTAATTAAACCAAATAATCAAAGTTATGCCCCACTGTTTAATATTTTAACAAAACTACGAAGAAAAATCCACAGACAAGCGTAATAAGTACCAAGTGGATAAATTGATTAGCAGTAGACTTTGTTTTTAGTACATCCTCTCTTTTATTTTTTCTATTATTTATTTTATTTTCGTATTTTTTTGTTAAATAAAAAGTGTCGATAGATGTGCTTTAAATATGATGAAACAAGCATTTAATTTCATACTAATTCTCGAAACAAACACAAAAACACACACAAATAAAAAATCTTTCAAATTCTAGTTGTTGTCATAAATTTTAACATTGGACATGTTTAGAGCAAATAAAAATTTAAAGAAAAAAATTCAACTTTTGTCTACAACAATAATACATAGAGTTTGTAAAGATCCCCTTTGGGGTTTTCAACCTGTTATTTATACCTTTTCTTTGTTTATTTTAAACTATTTTTAAAATTTCTATACGATTTTTGGACTTTTTTTGATGAAAATATTTTGTTGGCCCGTATTTTTTTATTTAAAAAACATTAAAAACTAAAAAATGACCAAAGTATAGAAAATACATTTTGTTTGGAATTTGTATAATTTTTATTTTTAGGAAAACTTACCGCTCCCATGGGTTTTGAGCAAGCCCGGTGTTGTTGTTGCTGCTGTTGCATTTGCTGTTGAGTTTCTTTCATGTTTCAACTGGATATCAGCCAGAGTTAGATGTGATGTAGTTGTTGTTGCTGCTGTTGAGCTGGCTCCTGCTGAAGATGAGACTGCTGATGTTGTTGTGGATGTTGATATTGTTTCCGAATTATTACCACTGAGATTTACACGTGAAGAATTATGATTTTTATGAACATTATTGGCAACATTATTACCATTGTTGTTGTTGTTGCTACTATTGCCATTTGTCAAACGCAAATATGTCGTTGTAGTTGTGGCATTTGTTAATTTACTATTGTTATTATTGTTGCTAGTTGTTGTAGACAAATGACGTTGGCCAGTTGCTGAAGCTAAAATATCACCCAATTTGGTTGTGGTAGTTGTAACAACATTGTTGTTGTTCGATGCATTTGATTTTTGAGACTTTTTGGTGCGAGTAAATGTTATAGTGCTGCCGCCTTTAGTCGTGTTGACACCAGCTGTCGTTGCAAGTACATGCTGTTGACGTTGCTGTTGTTGTTGTTGCTGCTGTTGCTGTTGAATGGAGGACAAAGATGATGAAGATAAGCTTAGTTTATGTTCGACCGTTAGGGATGTGGCCAAAGATGATGAGGAATTCGATAAAGATGAGGTAGAATTGGCACCTGATGTTGTTGCTGTTGCTGATGAAGATGAATTGCGTATGACTAGGATAGACTGGGATTTTTCTAAACGCTTTAATGTTTGCAACACAAATGGTCCTTTATCATCGCCAGTTGCTGCCGTGACCGTACCAAAGCGATTGCTATCGGTGCTTAAACTGCGTGAAGCCTGAAAATGTATCAAAATATTTAAATTGTTTAAAAAGGAAAAATTCATTGAATAGAATTTTAAAGAAATTTCAAGAAAACGCTGCAGAATCTGCGAATTTAGCACCATCAAATGCAGCAGACTTATCGCTTTAACTATGTACGACTAACTCCGAAGGACAGATATTCACTTGCAAATTAAGTCATCTGTCCGTCTTTGGTTTATTTGAGAGCTTCTTAGATGAGTCTCATTTATAGTCATACGGACAACGGACATAGTTCCGTTTATTCCATTTCAGACTTTAACAAGGATGATACTCAACATCCGGCAGGCGTATCTTGGAATACACAATATATTCGCTTATACATAGGTTAGGTTAGGTTGATAGGAGGATGCATACTACATCAAATCCGAAGAAATACACCTAGGCTACTATCGGCCCTGTTGTGCGCTCCTTATCATGAAAAAAAAGGGAACTGAATGAATTATTTTTCAGTGCTCAGAAACTCAGTTTCCTGAACGTAATTCCTAAGAATCTTCCAATCAGTGTTAGTCAGGAATGTTATTTGCGGAATAACATCACTTCCAAGATACTTGGAAGAGACGAATGCCTGCAGTGGCAAAGAAAGTGCTCCAGAGTTTCACTGTCCTCTCCACATGCTATACATTCGTATGAATCCGCACGTCCTGTGTGTCCACTCAGAATACGTACCATCATACTAACTTCAGACTTGCTCATTTTGAGGAGATTTTTCGTCTTGCTCTCATCAGGGTCACCCCATAGGATCTTCGTGGTTCTACCCACTGTTTCATTATTCCAAGAGGCCTTATGGGATTCTCTCACTCATATTTTTAGTTCAGCTTTTATTGCGTCAAATGGTTTTGCGTTTCTCAGGTTAACTACCTCGAGCTCGCTGCCCTTTAAAGCTATTACATTCGCCCTTTCGTTTCCGACTACTCCCGAGTGGGCTGGTACCCATATGATGTGAACCTTACCTCTGGGAGTGTATTCAGTTAAAGCTTTTACATATATGTATATGAACTTGGTCTAGGTCTAAATAGAGTAATCGAAAAACTATCAGTCAAATGTTAAATACTATTTGGGTGGTAGCGTAACAATACTTAAAACCCCTCACTGTGCCCGAGGACTCCGAGTTCTATGGCAACGTAGTTTATGAGACACTAAAAGAGATTCTTTTGTGATTCCTACAAATACGAACCTTTTCGGAAAATTACAAAATTCTACCTTTTCGATCATCACGCTTAAACGGAATGCAATTCATCACTTAAGTTGATGAAGCACTAATAGTGCTTCCTTTATAAATCCCACAAACTGAAGACTTATACATATTTGATCGATTATAATACTTCTGGCGTTTTGACGTTTTATAAAGTAAATTACGAAGGTTATGAAAATAAACATCATTGATATACTTACATTCTTAAATAGGAATGGTCTTTCCGTTCCAGATGTAACAGTGGAATTCGATTTTTTTAATTGTCCCGACTGCAATAGTACGGTTTCCAATTGACTAGCATTAATGGGAGTTTGTAATAGAATTGTATTGGTTTCCTTAGGGATTGTAACGGCTGTATTTGTGGCTGCTGTTGATGATGACGACAACGATGATGATGACGATGAGGATGTGGTTCCACTATTGCCAATGCCAACATTGTTAGCAATTAAGGAAATACTAGTTTTACGTGCAACAGTTGTGGTTGAGGGCAATTGTGTTAATGTGGCCACGGTGGCTTTTTCATTTTGTTGCTGTAATTGTTGCTGTTGTTGTTGCAATTGTTGCTGCTGTTGTTGTTGTTGTTGCTGTTGATGATGTTCACTGAGAAATGTAAAGATGTCCTGTTTATTTTGTATGACAATTTCACCATGTTCATTGCGTGAACCACGCACAACAATTATATTATTGCCTAAATGTTGCTGATGATGTGTTGGCTGAGTTTGCAATTGAAATTGCAAAGATGATTGTGATACAGTTTGATTTGTTAGCTGTTGCTGCTGCTGTTGTTGTTGTTGCTGCATTAATACGAAATTTTACTACTTGTTGTTATCGTGTATTAGCATTTGTTGCTGCTTTTGTTGTTGGTTTTGACTTTGTTTTTTGCCACTTTGCTACTGTTCAAACTTAGTCAATCAATCGAAATTGTAGACGACAACAACCGACATTAAATTGTTGTTGAAACTGTAAAGGGAAAGATAAACAATTTTATATAAATTTCTTTCTTTAAGGCAATAAATCATTGATCATGTCTTTGAAAGGAAGTATTTAATAGAAAAACTACAAAACAAAATAATAATAGAGAATATAAAATTTATTGTCCAGAGTTGAGAAGGAGTGAAATCGTATTTTGTAAGTGCGTTCTACTTTGGGGATCTTTTTGAAAGAACGTCCCCGGTAATGTTGTTGTTCTACTGCGGCTGATAGTTATTTTCTAACCGATATTATAATTGAAATAATTTAGGTCGGTAGGTCGTAAAGAGAGCTGGAAAAACTGTGCCAACTTGCTGGCATATCTTTGAGGCGCAAATGTTAATTTTCTTACTGGAATAATTGGATTCTTAAGAGCAGCGGTTTGGAGTGCCAGGAACAGAAGCTAAGTACGACCTTTTCCAGGGTGAGCTAGAGACGACTCACCAACAGCCATTTCTGACTTGCTAATTTTCAAATTTCGTACATGGTTCAACCGGTCAATGTATAAGCATTTTATCCAAAACTTGAGTTATCTAATCCCTGACCATCGTTGCCCCAGTGCTTTGCTTTCGATATGCAAAAACATCACCTAGAGACAAGTCCTTACTCACAGAGAACGCACAACGGTAAGTTAAGTATGCCCAAAGTCAGTCATAAAAGGTACCTGTTTCCGTGGTACCAGATAAGATAGGTTCTCTGGTTCATCCATCAGTTCATAATCCAAAGTCAAGTTCTTACTCACCGAGAAGTCGGGTATGAATAGAGCCAACTATAAAAAGGTACATTTGACGGAACCAGTTCATAGTCCCAGCAGTCTAGATTGCAATCATATCAATTTGGGGGAAGTGTATTAAGGTAACATACCCTGGGGATGGAGTGCCAGAACCAATTTATTTCCTCAATAACCGCAATCGTAGGTATTTTAGTTTTTGAATCTGTTATATACATATATATATAGCCACTAATGTCTTTAAAGATCGGCAGTTGATATAACGTTCTCTGAGCTTGAAGTCGATCAACGTCTGATGGAACGAACGTTGCAAAAGCTTCGAAAGAAACTGTCTATACAGCAACCCAAGGATTTCGGAGCAGATAAACTTTTATTGCGTTTCCGAAAAACGTTTGTTTTGTTGATCAAAATTGCTAACTTTTGAAGGTTAATTGTAATTATTTGTATACAGAGACACCCTGGTAGTGATGTTGTTGGAGGTAGAGCATCATCCTCCTTATGGCAGACCTATTTTTTATTTTGTGGTAATACGATTCTTGACTTCTGAACTCAACAAGGGCATGTTGCTTCATAGAAAGTGCACGATCTAGTTTTTGGCATTGTTGGGGAATGTGAAGTTAGCGATGTTGTTGATCAGCATCGAATGAATGTCTTGGTTAACGGCGATTTGTCAACGCACCACGTTAACACGGTTGTTGTTAATTGAGGTCTGTGGGGATCTAAGCTAGGGATGTGGTTGTGCTATTTGCTTCTCAGAAGGCATGTTGGCGAGCAAGAAATGCTTCTTCGGGGTTGGTACATGATTCTCCTTGTGTAGTGGGTTTGTCTGATTTAATAAAGGAATATCTGCAATCACCAATTAGTTAATGAATCGAGAGTTCTTCCATACATCGGGAATAACCAATTAATGAAAAGAGAGTTTTGATGAATTAAGAGTTCTAGAAGTTGGGTGAGATATTTCAGATCTATTTCTTTAGCATTAACATGGAGATGTCCTAAGAAGCTATAGCTTTTCAGCCACATATGTAAATAACATTAACGAATTCATTCATTTATTGATAACTTTTAAAATTTCAACAATCAACTTTTAACAGCTTGTCTCGTGTCGTGTTTTTTTGTTAAACAAACTACAACAACTTGTGACATCTAGTGGGTTGGAATACGACGAGTGCAAGTTGAGTTGATTATAACGTCCCTCCTTTTTGTCAACTATCAACTATCAACAACTTCAATTGATATTGTTGTCGTGCACATTGTTGTCGGTCGGTATGCAAACTATTTATTGTCATCAACTTTGTAACATTTTTAAGTAAGCGAACAAGCGTATAAGTCAACATGTTTTTTTTTTTGGTTTTTGCTACTGTTTCTTGTTTTCCTTTCAATTTTCTGTGTCTATTTAAACATGTAATAACATTGTTGGTATTTTAATATTTGTTTTTATTTGTTTGCTGGTCAATATGCGGCCTGGCCTTCAGGCTATTTTCAATTCAAACAAACAAAACGCCACCACACCATACACCATTCATATCTTCTTTGTACAAAAAAGAAAAATATAGCAGCGACTCAACGAACGAAAGAAAAGAAAGATAAACCATCTAAAGGGTAAACCAACCGGAAATTTATTACTTCATATTGTCATGTACTCGTGTACTTTGTTGTATATTTTTGCGTTTAAAATACCGTCACTGTTACGAACGTTATTTCGCGTAGATATATTTCATCCATTCATTCTCTCTTTCTCAGTCTGAAACACACACACACACATACTTAGGCCGTTATTTAAAGTATAAATGTTAGATGTTGTTCATTTATTGAGTTTTTAGAAAGACCGGGACAGGAATGACAATGACATCCATTGTAAACACATTTTCCCCCTCTCCCCCCCCATAAGTTTTAGAAAGTTTTTATTTCCTCGGAATATGAAAAAAATTTAAGAAAAACAAGCAGTATAAAGTAGCAAAAAGCAAATATATCAATGAGATTTTTTAAAAGCGAAAAAACTGTGTGTGCCAAGAGTAAATCCAAATTGACTTTAAATTGTTCAATAGTGTGTTGGAACAGTGTGATAAAAGTGGACAAATTTGATGATTCCAATAATATATTATATTAGACAAAATTCTCAACATATTAGTGCGGGAAAAGCCGAGCTGTTGAGATCAATAGCAAGTCAGTAGCCTACGGAGTCCATGAATATTATCCACAGACAAGCCAATCTCAGGATATGTTTGCATAAACAGGCATACAGTACTCGAGGTAGGTGCTTAATTTTTCCAAAATTTAAGTTTCGATGTATCAGAAAGCAAAAGTGAGTGGTGGCTGTCTTCCGGCCGGAGTTCAACGATTGGGTTAGTGGGTCAACCTGTGAATTGTTAGGACAGTGGTAAGACGAAGTAAGGCTGCATTACTTTATAACTGTTCCCCCATGGAATGTTACCTTGGTGAACCACCCATATCTTGGAGTTGCAATACCTTTAGTTTATTGGAACTGAAAGCTGGAAGATTTAAAAGAACATCTATTTTATCTGGTACAATGTGAGTCAGTAGCCTACAGGATTCGTCCTGTACTTTCCATTGGATAGTGTCTTTGAAATACAAGTAGTGGTTCTGGTTCAAAACCCAAATCGCTGTATGATAATATTGGTTAAAGGACTAATACACGGTAAAATTAAAAATTCCGTACTTTTACCGAGAAAACTGACCCTTCACTAACGGATACTTTTCTTTACGAATGTGTCGAACAATAAAATTGCGTGATGGACCAAGGTATGTTCAGGGTTTATTCTAATCATACCAGACATACCGCAGAGTTTCCCTGTGATGATGTAGTTCCACAGTGAATTTGAATTGTCTTCGAGGAATGCTTCAAATATGATCTGAAGATTACCGGACATAAAGCAACTGGTCTGCGTTGGTCAGATATCAGTCATATAACTCAAGTACCAAAGCAAGGCACATGTAATGGACCAACGTCAACTATTTCCACCTACGTGTTCATTTTAATAGTCAAAAAGGGACCGTAGTGGGTCGTCTTTTTCTCACTTTGAGGTTGACAAACTAACACTGTGCTATATGGCCTTATGCCAGCTACTACGAAGAGCAGTGGGACTTCTGCAATAACAGTTAAGATAGCTATGTAGAGCTTCTCATCAAGTTATTTTGAGCAAAAAAATTCCCCCCGGGGCATGTTACCTTAATGATTTTCCCCATCTAAGTGTTATTGCAATCCTGATGAAAAGAGGTTCTACTAATACCTCTAGTTTGCTAGGACTTTCGAACCACATAATCTGGTATTACGGGAACTGGAGCTTCTTTGTCTTATACTGGTCATTGGAGAAGTGCCTTCTGGGTGTCTATGGTTTGAACCTAAACTTGGTAAAGTATGTAATTTGGAATAGGTTCGGTGCTGTTACCGAAACAACAGATACCCCACAAAAAAGTGACTGTGAGACTAAACATTGGAAATGAGTTGGAGTCAAGGGCCTCTCCCACCCATATACCTAGAGTAAGTGTATCAAATCTTCGACTACGACTTCTTTTTCTTGTGCAAGAAGTTGACCAAAAGTATTAAAACTAATCAATGCCAAACCCGCCGTTTTTTAACACGTGGTGACTTAAGGAGAACCAAAGTAAGGAGAACCATAGTAGTCTGAATTTCTCTAGGGTAACAGCAAAAATTATTCATTATAAAATATTATCCTATGCTATTGCAATTATAAAATATTTTTCTTCCAATCCCACTGTAATTGATCCCATATAAAGGGAGAAAAACACAATAATGGTTTTGTTTTTTTTTTTAGTCTTTTGACAAAACGACAGTACGCGACAAAATGCACTTCATAGTTGAGTTATGCCCAACAAGATAATGTACGACAAGGACATTGTTTGGGAGAGAGCGTAGAACACACGTACCCACACACACACACACACACTCAAGCTTACACACATTTCTAAATCTAATACGCTGTAAAAATCATTACATGAACTTAAAAACACGTTGCTCTACTACGACTACTACTACGGAAGGATAGTCCTCGTATAACAACTAATAGTTGTTGTCGTTGTTGTTGTGACTTTATTGTTGGTCAACAACATCTAAACAACACCAACATACAAACAAACACCAAAAACAAATAAAAACATGTAACGGAAGAAATGTTTTCCTTGTTACTGTTACAATTTTTAAAGTTTTTTTTTCCTTGATTCGTTCGAAATGACCATTTACTATTTTGAAGGGTGCAAGTGTGACGGTGTGTGAGTAGTG